AAAATTGTATGAAACTACTCACAAAGAAATAACCAAAATTATACTGAGCAAAAGCACAAAGCAGGATACATTACAGTACCTGATTTCAAAATATATACAAAGCTGTGGTAATCAAAACACCTTGTTATTGGCACATCAGTAGGACAGAATAGAAAGCCTAGAAGTAAACCCATACATTAATAGTCAATTGAATTTTTATAAAGATACCTAAAACATATTGGAGAAAGGATAGTCTTTTTAATAAATAGTGCTGGGTAGACATTATTATCCAAAGTACATGTATGAAGACACAAATTGGTGTGAATATACTTTGTATACAACCAGAGATATGAAAAATTGTGCTCTATGTGTGTAATAAGAATTGTAATGCATTCTGCTGTCACATGTAAATAATAAAAAGTTAATTTTTTAAAATGAGGCTTGGAAAATTGGATAGCCTTATACAAAAGAAGGAAATTAGGACTCCTTTTGTCAGTTACAAAATCAACTTAAAATGGATTGAAGACTTAGATGTAACACCTGAAACTATGAAACTACACACAATAAGAAAACAGGGGAAATGCTTCAGGATATTGGAATTCAAGAACTTTTGGACAAGCCCCTCAAAACACAGGGAACAAAAATGGCATTACATCAACCTAAAAAGCTTCTGCACAGCAAGAAAATACATTTATCAGCTTGAAGAGACAACTGACATAATTTTGGAAGAAAATATTTGCAAACTATACCTAGGACAAGAGATCAATATCAACAATACCTAAGGAACTCCAAAACCTTATCAGCAGAAAAACAAATGATTCACTAAAATATCTAAATAGGCATTTCTCAAAAGAACATTCACAAATGACCAACAAGTACATTTTTAAAATGTTCATTATCAGTGATTATCATAGAAAAATGCAAATCAAAACCACATGAGATATAACCTCACTCAGTAAGAACAGCTGTTATCAAAAAGATAAGAGATAACAAGTGCCAACAAGGATGTAGACAAAAGGGAACCCTTGTAAACTCTTGGTAGGAAAGTAAAATAGGACAATCATTATAAAAAGAATATGGTGGTTTCTCAAAAAATTAAAAATAGTACTAGCATATGATCCACGAATCTCACTGCTGGTATATATCCTAAAGAAATGAAATCAGTATGTTGAAAATAAATCTGCATTCCCATGTTCATTGCAGCATTACCTAAAGGATGGAAGAATGGAAGCAATCTAAGTCTCCATCTTTGATGAACAGATAAGGAAATRATGGTGAATGGACATGATGGAATCCATAAAAGAAAGTGAAATCCTGTCACTTGTGACAAAATGGATGGAATGGGAGAAAGTGAAATTAACCAGGCACATCTCAAAAAGCTAGAAGAAAGGGCTTGAAAGTTTTCACCATGAAGAAGTGATAAATATTTCAGGCAATGGATATATTTCACCTAATTAAATAATGGACACATGTCAAAACATCACTTGGTATTCCATTAATATGTACAATTATGTACAATAAGTATATGCTTTATGTATCAGTTAAAAWTAATTAAATTAGGAAATTAGTATCATGATGCAATAAAAATCTGATGTTTTTGTCTTTAGACCAAAATAATAAAAATCCCCACTATTTTAATAAAGTACAGATACTATTTGTTCCAGATTGCTTCATTAATGAGCTATTCAATAATGTATCAGTGATGGTGAAAAAATATATAATATTACTCTATTCCTTTACAAGAGCAATGTAAGACAGTTCAAAGCCTCAAAATTATCTGTCTCTAGAAGAATAACAAAAAAGCACATTAAAACACAGAGAGGATATTTCAGAATCTCTGTATTCTCGGTTCTACTCTGTTGTGATAGATCTTCTTGGGGCTCTAATAATTTCCTTTGAGAAAGCATCTCCGCAGAGAATTCAGCTCTTACATACACATTCTACTCATCACCCACTTCCTTACACATCTCCAGGATGAAAAGCAGAAGTCACAAAAGAACCATCACTATTGGTTCTCAGTGGGGAGAGGGGAAGCCAGCTCTCCAGCACACTTTCCTGAGTGGCAAGCCTGAGGTCTGAATGCAGTGCCTTGAGCATTAAGCCAAAAGCACAGATCCTTCAACAAGCACATCAAGCTGCCATGTGAAAACCACACTCCTGCCACTTGGAAAAAAAAAAGCTGGTGCAGGCTCTTGGGCACAAGTCTTGCCATCCCTGCTGTGAGATGGCTTAGTGAAGCTACCCTGCCAGCTTCCACTTAAGCTGCCAGCAGTTGGAAGAGAAATGGGGTAGGGAGAGTGTTTCCTCCTGTCCTGGCCTGATTGGGATATTGCTAATGTCTTTCTGGAAGCAATCAGGAGGATGAAATACCTTCACTAARATTTGTTCACCCAGAACTTAAGACAAAATGCTCTCCACCAAGATATTCAGAAAGAACAACAGAAAYGCTTTTCAAGGTGTTAGAAACCATTGTGGGTTTACTTGTGCCCTTGCAAATGTGTTTGTTATAGTACTACCTCCCAGTGCCCCAGAATGAGATCGTATTTGGAGACAGGATCTTTCAAAAGGGTAATTAAGTTAAAATGAGGTCTTTATGGACACACAAAGAGTAAAGAGGATATGAAGACGTAGGGAGAACATGGCCATCCACAARCCAAGAAGAGGGATTTCAGGAGAAACCAACCCTGCTAACACTTTGATCTCAGTTCTAGACTCCAAAACTGAGAAAATAAATGTGTGTTGTTTAAGCCACTCAGAGTGTGGTGTGGTATTTCATTATGGCAGTCCTAGCAAACCAATAACAACAACAACAACAAAATGAACAGCTTCAATAGCAGTAAAGTCAAATCCTGACCTTACAACCAAGATCTGGAAAAGCTTCCTTCCCCAGCATATCACTGCACACACATCTCGGTCTAACTGCACTCTTGCTTGGTCAGGACAAGCCATCCRGGCATTCGTTCCAGCAGTGTACAGAACGTGTGCACCACACTGGGGCATTATTTCTCCCACTTGATAAAAAGGATCTTTATTTTTGCGGGAGGATCACTTGGGCCTAACACCATGTCTGATGTTTTAGTCTACATCTCTGAATTCCACACCGGCTGCCTGCACTGTGTTTGTTGGTATCTAGGTCTCAGTATCCAGGCCCTGCCTCTCATTGTCAATCACCAATGCTGTCTGAGTGCCAGCTCTGTGTTTGGCCTCACAACTCTATTCTTTATTCCCTTTCAGTTCCTTGAACTTGCAAAGAACAGGAGATATAATTTCTGTTCTTTAGTCTTTTAGAAATTATTGAAGTTCATTCAGAAATTTTCCCACCATTAATTTTACATAATTTTTCAATGCTAGTGTCAGAGAAAGAAGGGCCTTTTGCATCCATAAAATATGCACAAAACTCCTTTCTATGGATAACATAAATGGTCATAAAAGGCATCCAAAAATCACTGAGAAATAGAGTAGACAAGGAATAAGTTCCATTTGGGTGCTTAGTTTAAAAATCAACTCTGGGGGCTGGGGTTGTGGCTCAGAGGTAGAGCACTTGCCTAGCATACGTGGGCACTGGGTTTGATCCTCAGCACCCCATAAAAATAAAATAAAGGTACTTAGTCCACCCACAGCTAAAAAAATAAATGTTTTTAAAAAATCAACTCTGAAGATATACAAAATGTTTTCAAAATACTATGCTGATAATATAAATTGTTGTTCATTAAGTATGWTTTTTTTCTCTGTTAGTTCAAATTTTTTACTTTTTTCTTACAGGTTGTTGGGGCTCCTGGTTGTTAAGAGGAAATTTTTGTTCCTATAAATAAATATGGATTCTTAAGCAATATGGTTTTATGCCATTTTCAGAAAAAAATGAGATAACTATAGACATACTTTTTATTCCACATTCAAGCCTTATTAGAAGGAAAAGTTATAGGAAAGGGATAAGTTCCTTTTAAAACTTTATGTAACTTTCTTTTTAGTCTGTTATAGATAGTAATAGACCTATTTAAAACAGGAAGTTCAAGGCGATGACAGAGCTTTACCAGGAATCGTACATGGGGAAATATAAAGAACTTAAACAGCTGAATCCACCTTAAATGTCACTTGTGATGTAGAGGGAAGGGACACTTTGCTGGGAGGAAGTTGAGAAAGGTTCTTCTTATTCCAAAAGGCTTTCCCAGGTACTAGAGGATGAAAAAAAAAAAAGTGATGTGATGTCTATCTAGTTTGCCATTCTTTTTATAGAAAGCACTTAAATCCAGATAGTTCAATAAGTATTTTGCAGAAAACTCTTTTCCTATAAATGACTCCCCAATGTCTACTCATCAGTAAGTTAATTATAATGTTGGACTTAAGGATTTGATTTCTAAAATCAATCAAAAAAATGACACATTGAAAAATAGAATTTTTATTTCCATCTTAAACTCAGTGTAGAAGTACCTGTTTACAAACTTCCTTCATTTAATTGGATTTCTTAGTATGAAATAATATTTCCAGAACTAATTACAATTTTGTTCTAATGAATATTTAGCACCAAAATATGTTATCTTTGCAGTACAATATATAGATTTCTAAATCATCCATAAAGGTAATTATATTTTTTACTTTCTCAAAAAGTCATATATTGTTATTGATGCCAAAATGGGTCGTTTACTTCTTCTCAGGCCATGATTGAAGAAGCCATCACCAGAGCTGAATCTTTCTCAGTTATGTACACACCATTTGCAACAAAAATAAGAGCTGATAAAATAGAAAAAGTAAAAGAGGTTTTCACAAAAACTCATCCTGCGTATGTAGAGTACATCTACACAGGTAAGACTCAACATCTTCAGTTATCAGCTGATCCCTTATTTCTGTTGAAATAAATGCAGAACCCTTTCTGGTTCGTTTACTGTTTGTGTCAGAGTATTTCTATTTAAATTTAAGGAATTGAAATGGGAAATTGTTTTAAGGTTTTAAGTAGAACTGGCCTTTACAGGTCTAGTACAAAATCCCTTGAGCCTTCCTGTTTTTGTTTTTAAAGGAAGGGGTAAAACCTAGAAACTTCAAGGTTTTTTAAAAAACAACAGCAATACCTTTGGTAAAATTTCATCTTTCTATWTATCCTTCATCAGTACACTAGGTGATTATAGTATTTTCCTGAAGACTGACTTTTTTCCAAAGCCTGCTCTTTCTGCTTTCCTGTCCCCATCTTCTTCACCCCTCAAGCCTCTCTCTTCTTGAAAAACACTGGTTTCCAAATGAGCTCTGGATAGCCAAGGGTACCTGAGAGGACACACATTGGTATTATTCTTTTTCCTCTCTTTTTCTGGGAATTGTCCTTTTCCTTGTCTTTTTCTTTAAAAGTCACTTACTTTTATTCATTCATTCAAAATATTTCTTCCTACCTACTGTGTGTCAAGTGTCAAGGAGTTTTGTTTTGTTTTATATTAAATGAAGGGCCATTCAGCGATGACTAGTGTTAAGCAAAATCCCTAAATGTACACACCTAATATCACAATCTTCTATTAAGGCCAGTTYAACTCCTTTAGGTTTTAGGGGCTGAATTGTTGATGCATAAGATTTAAAACATTCTCTGTCCTTGGCCATTTTTAAAGCACCATGTGCTCTGCATTTATTGTCCCTTGTTGTTCCCATAATCTATGAGGTTAGGTGATTTGCTTTAGAAACAAGAAAAGATAATTGAGAAAAGACAAATAGCTTTCTCAAAGATGCCCACCCAATTGTTTATAGCAGGCTTTAGATTGAACCCATATCTTTGCCATTGAGCTATACTGTCTCCCTGTGACAGAAGCATTAAGTTAGGTCCTGTGGATTCCTTATTTTTCTCCACAGTGCCTCAACTAAAATTAAATAAATTCAATTAAATAAATCCAACTAATAATGGTTGAATACTAATCTCTGAGGAACAATGGGAATTGAGGGCAGAGAAAGGGAGAAGAGCATACAAACTTTGCATAATGACCACTGATGCTGATTATACTCAGGTTGAGCATTTTGTAAAAAGAGAGGTAAAAAAATTCCAGAACTTTGCTAATTGCTACAAACTTTTCATCATTTTGCTATGAACATTTAAAGATGGGTTTTTTTGTTGTTGTTTTGTTTTGTTTTGTTTTGTTTTGTTTTGTTTTGTTTTTTGGTGGTGGTGGGGAGGGGCACAAATCATGCCCATTTAGCCTCATGGGAAAATGAGTCTGATGCAGTCATTTTCACGGCTGCTCTCAGATCCATTGGTAAGGAAGAAGGATTCACTAAGAAGATCATCAGTTTGCCAATTTCTCTTCTGGTAGAAGGAGTTTAGTTATATTTAACCTACTTCACAGAGAAGTCATGACGATTAATTAATACTTAGGAAGCACTATTGCCACTGAGAGTTTAAAAACAATAATAACATTAATGAGCCAGACTCATGTCTCATGTAACTCCATCAAACCTGTTATCAAGATGAATTATGATCTGCTGGCAAGACGATTCAAGCTAAAGGATCTTATACTGTAGAAGAGAAGATAATTATAAGTTACTAATGATTGTTTCTATTATTTTATAATTGCTAATTGTGAGAGTATGACAGTGCAATATGAGACCCTGAGAGGAAAGATACTACTCCTGGCAGAGGATCATGAGGTAGAAAAAATCAGCCTAGAGTTTAAATCTCATTGGGCCTAGTCAGGTTCTTTTCTCTGTGGAAATCATGATTTGGGTTAAGACTTGGTGACACGATTTGCCTCTGTATGAAGAACTAAAGGGTTGTCTAGCTATGTGTGCACAGTGGGGAAGGGGACTTCTTTTCCCCCAGGCACTTCCAAGGTGAGTGAGAACACAGAGCATGGGTGGGAAGCGGGAAGGAAGGTCAGGTGTTTTCTTTAACAGCTGAACCTCTCTYCCAGGAGGTGCAGAGAGCTGTCTAGAGGAGGCATCAGGAGCCACAGATAATAACTAGGAAGTGAGAAACACAAAGAGAGATTGGGCGTAGGAGAAATAGTTACTTTTTSTTTGTTTTTGTTTTGACATATTCCCAAAACCAGAATTCTTTTATGAACTTTGTAGATGGAATTCAAGACGCTTCTGTCTTGATAAAAATTTATTCACTGACCCATTTCAACAAATATTCATATAGCAGGAGAGTCTGCACAATCACACAGCAGATGTGTGCAGACCTAAGACTGTTTCCGCATGATACTCGGGCTAGACAAGTGCACAAGTTTCTGCTCAGTGCTATTTCATAAACACTCCTCCATGTGCAATCAACTCCATCCTCAAAGACACTGAGTTTGTACACTCACCCTTCCACAGACAGCTACAGGTGAGGCTGTCAAGTGTGTTTGTATCCACCCATAGAAATATATAGTTGCAGGAGAGAAACTGATGCCCCATGAAAGATGAAAGCCAGCCTTAGCAGCAGCAAGGCACTACRCAATTCAATGAGACCCTGTCTTTAATAAAATACAAAATAGAGCTGGGGATGTGGTTCCGTGGTTGAGTGACCCTGAGTTCAATCCCTGGTACCCCCCCMMAWATATATATATATATATATATATAGTGCTCATTGAAGCAAAAGAAATGGAGGCCATATGTAAAAATTTCTAAATTACAGAAATCATCTAAACCAACCATCAGTAGATGAAGTTTGTCATATAATCTGTACCTCAAAAATCTTGGATGAGGAGACTACCTACCAAAGTTTTGCTGGAGAAGTAGTTATGATCATTAAAACTTGGAGATAAGCACCTTTCATTCTGCCAGTGGAGACTGGCAAACAAATTTCCAACTCAGAAACCCTGCCCAACTCCAGGTCACCTTCATCAAGCCCAGCTTGGCCTGAGAACAGTACTCCCTGGTCACATGACGAGTTCTGGCTTGTGGTGGTGARGAGCAGGGAGAGACTCCCCCAGTAGTGCTTTCTCTCTAGCCAGCCCACAGTTCACAGTCACCTCTGTCAGAGATTTCCACAGGAAAAACAGATGCAAGATGGAGGAGGTGAATGATAATTAATTTTGAAATAAGGCTTAAATATAGATCTGATGCTTAAATATTTTTTTAATTGAAGAGGCCAACTAAGTGAGAAATTGGTTTTATAGTGATGTTTCATGTGAAAGCCTACTCATCACCAGTGGTAGGTACTAGGACTGCCTTTATAATTTCTATAGGGCTGATGAGGGAGGGTTAAAATTCAAATATGCTTTATAGGACACCCACATTTACACATGCTCAGAAACTTACTCCTCATCCTTTTCTGTTTCAGAAACATGCTAAAACCCACCCAATCTTAAAGTCATATTATAATAGAGCTGTATTGTATTMTGTTTCATGGAGAAGAAATTACTTATTTTTTATAGTATAGCTCTCCATTCTTCTTATTTAAGGAAAAATCCAGTTTGATTCATGCAGAGTAGTCAGGGTATATAAAACAAATAATAATTCACCAGCCCCAGAATTATTATGTTTTCATTTATAAAGATTTTGCTTGTGATTTTTATTCATATATTCCAATGAAATAATGCAATTYTGCATAGTTCCTATTCTTGCATGGTTGTATTTTAATAATAATAAAGTAATACAATAAGCATATCCTGTCTCCTCTTGATGAAAATATCAAGATTTATTTTCTAAATAAATAAATATTCAGTAATGGATCTATGCTTAGTAATGTTTAATAGAAAAGTTTTCTGGATCAGATATCAATTACTTTAACACTTAGGTGGATAGAGTCATATTTTGTCTTTCCAATGCAATTTAACTCCCAAGAGTAAATATGTATGTTCAGAGGAATAATATATTGTTTTAAAATAGACCTTTAAAAATTGCTTTTCACTGAAATTTATAACCTCATTCTTGTTCAGTCATCATTTACAAGCAAGGATAATACATTCTTATGTTCTCTAAAACACGAAGTTAAAATTTCTCATTTTATTCTTTCTTCTTTAAATTATGTAATTTTACCATGATCAAGAGTTTTCAAGATCAGACTATTTTCCTCTTTGTAACTAGCTTTCTCAAATGGAAAACTTGAGAATTAAACAGTYTGTATTCCCAATATCGTTAGGAAAGTGTTACAGCTGGATTAATTATAAAGATAAGTCATCTCATATTTGTAGAATCAAAGAATCATTCCCAAAGAAGGTCCTCACATATGGGTCTGAAATCTCTGTTCTTAAAATAATAAAATGCTGGTCCTCCCAGTGTGCAATGCGAAACTCTGGCATTGTTCTATCTGATGGAAGTAAACATTCCTCAACCAGCAGTTCACATGTCCCTTGCAGTAGCAGATTATAGCACAGCTTGTCTTTGATCTCCACTTCTACCTCACCTGAATCTCCCTAAAACTAATGCCTCCTGCTTAAGACCTTTTCTTATGGGACCTGACCAAAGACAGACAGAGTTGCCCTTAAGGAAGTAATCCAAAAATAAATGGAAGTAATAGAAATATTTACTTCAGCCTCTGGAGACTATTTAGTGGGTTGGGGCAGGGTGGAGCAGATGGAATGGGATGGATGGCTAGAAGCAGGGAGGTATTATAGGTATTGTATCCATAATGCTCAGCAACACCWTGTAAAATGCATACACACAATAAACGCAAACACATGGAAGCTTCACTCAAAGATGCCTTTCCCATTCTGCGTCCTCCAGATATATTCCCTTGTGAATATAAAGGTGAGTCCCTTTCTATTGTCAGAATTGGTAGTCTTACCTGTTATTACCTAACACCACTTTACCCATGTGTATAACGAAGTCCCAAGATTATTTTTAAGGAGCAAAGCTCATCTTATCAAGCATGGGAATAGTGAGGTAAAGACTCAGATGTTAGGCGAAAT